CTTATTGGCTTTTCCTTTAACTTGGGGAAATTTTCTTCAATGATTTTGTTGAAAATATTTTCTGGGCCTTGGAGAAGGGAGTCTTCTTTTTCCTCTATTCCTAGTATTCTTAGATTTTGTCTTTTCATATTGTCTTGGATTTCTTGGACGGTCTGTGTCAGAAATTTTTTGGATTTAACATTTTCTTTGACAGATACGTCGATTTCTTCCATTGTATCTTCTACACCTGAGATTCTTTCTTCCATTCCTTGTATTCTGTTGGTTATGCTTACCTCTGTAGTCCCTGTTTTCTTCCCTAAATTCTTCCTCTCCATTATTTCCTCCATTTGTGTTTTCTTTAATTTTTCTAGTTCTATCTTCAGGTCTTGAGTTGTTTTGTTTACTTCCTTCACCTGTCTGCTTGTATTTTCCTCTTTTTCTTTTAGTTCCTTCAGCTTTATCTCTTTTATTTCTTTCAGTGATTTAATTATTTCTTCTCTGAAGGCCACAAGCTGTTTGGCTGCATCTTCCCGTATTTCTTCACAGATGGCCCTAATCTGCTTGTCTTTATCTTCCTCCATTTCTTTACGGATAGCCATGATCTGTTTGGTTTTATCTTCCTCTAATTCTTTACGTATTTTATTTGTTTCCTCTATTATCCTCTTCATCAACATAGATGTAAGGTCATCTTCTTGATTTTCTATTATGCTGCATTGTCCAGGGTTGTTCGCCCCTGGATGGCTGGGTTCTGGAGATGCCATATTGCTCTGTCTTTTGTTGGTTGAGCTTTTACGCTGACCTCTACCCATTGGGCTGATTTAGGTGTTGGTGGTTAGTTTCTGTGCTTCCTGGAGTCCTGACGTAGGGAGTATCCCCTTGGCCGGAAGATGATTTTTCCTGAAGGAGTCCTTCTCTGCTTTTTGGTTATGGTCACTGTATGGCCAGTGTTTCTCAGGAGTTGCCACTGCTCACCTTAGGTTTATAGCCCTGAGTAGTAGCTGTGGTCTATGTTAGGCAGGGGGGAATCTCCTCTTACCCATAGAATTTCTCAAGACAGCTGCCCCACTGCTGGGTTTCTTGTTATAAATTTAGTGTGCTGCTGCTCACTAAATTTCCATGTACAGTCCTCTTGAAGAAACTGCTGATTCCCTAGCTGTGGGGTTTTCTCCCAACAGGGAAACTCAGTCTGTTATCCTGGGGCGCACAGTTCTGTCCTGGAAAGTGGGAGGTGCACTCAGCAAGTCTCTGGGCCAGAGGCTGATTGCTCTGCTCTGGACCTGGAGAATGTGCACCTAGGTTGAGTTGGCGCCTGGGGGCACTGTTCTGGTCTGGAGGCTGGGTGCCTCACTCTGGACCTGAAGCTGTGTGTCTCTGTCTGGGATGGCAGCTGCAGGCACTGCTCTGGTCCAGATGCTGTGGGTGTAGCCCTCTTGAAGGACCAGGGATTCCCAGTTTTGACAGTCTAGCTAGGAATAACTGGTTGATCCTTGGCACAGTATCTGAGGGCTGCTGTAATGGCTCTCTGGCTTTTGTAGGTCTGAGGATGCAGCTCTGTGTCCCAGTGCCCTAGGGGAACTCAATAATGGAGGCAGAGCACAGCGCTCCTGCCTGCACTAGAGTCTGCGTGAGTCCAGGAAGTGTTTTGGTGCTGGGTGTCCTAAGCGTTAGAGCTGCTGACCCCCTCTGCTGGGGGTTTCCTCCTGCCAGGGACACGCAGTCTGGTGCCCTGGTGCCCTGGTGCCCACAGTTCTATCTGAGGCGGTGAATCAGGCGCCTGTGTCCCAGCTCTGGATCCATACTGGCTCTTGGGGCACCCGCGGAACCCGAGTCTTTTCCAGGGGATGTCTGGGTAACCTGAGGTCGGTTCCAATTGTTTCCTGCTCCGTGGGGTTATCTCTAGACTGTGAAATCCAGTCTATGGTGTTGTGGGCCCACAGTTCAGTCTGGGACCGTGACCAGATTGTGCTGGCGGGTAGCTCTGGGCTGGCGACCAAGCGCCTGGCGGAACTGGGATCTCTTCTGCGGTTTAGCCGGGTGAGTTAAAGCTGATTGAATCCCCCACCGTGGGGTATCCTCTCACCTGTGAAACTCAATCACTTGTGTTTTATGGCTGCGAGTTCTGATTGCTGGTCACTGTGCCAATCCTGCTGTGCTGCTCCTTAGAATGAGAGTCCTCCCGGCGCCGCCATCTTGCCCCCAAAATGTTACTTTTTAATCAAATAGTGATGTATGCCGTTCTTATTTAGTAGAAGAAAAGCTTCTGCAAACTCCTTGAAAGTAGTATCTCAGGGATTCTGTTTGAATTTTAACAGACATTTGCTGTGGTTTAAATACTTGTTTCTTTTTAGTATGTTTCCGGTCGAGTAGAATTACATCACTTTCCCTTCCATCCCTTTCCCTATTACATCCCTTTCCCATCTCTCCTATGCTCAAGCTGTTAGCCTCTTCATGACTATCATGTTTATTACTGTTGTATATGTATGTACATATATCATGCATGTATAATGCCTATGCATACATATTATCATGCTGAGACTGTTTTTGTTATTTGTGTGTATATAATTTCAGGCCTGAGCACTCTGCATTTGACAACAAATAAGAGCCATCAGATCAAGGAAAGGCTAGTTCTTCTTACAGAAGTAAATAGTTGTGTATGGGTGAGACTCTTAGTCTCTTGAAAGGAGACTAAGATACAGTTCTCACCTTCCAGTTTCCTCTGGGAGAGAGCAGCATTGTCTCCTGATATGTTGCTTGCCCAGATGTGCTGACTCAAACAGTCTTAGGAAAACAGCTGGCTCAGTCACAGACTGTCTCGTCAATCACAGACGACTGGTATAGCTAAGTGAATAACCAGGATAAACGTTCTGACTGCATGAACTAATGACCTAGGACATTTTTATACAGACCCATAAATAAAACAACCACAGCCTCAGATCTCAGACATTCAGTTTCTTCCCAGTGTCACCCTATTCCAGAGTCGTATCCTCCTCTTAACATGAGTACACATGCTGGAGCCTGAGGCTTTCAGGTCAGTCTCTACCATGCAGGCCTCTCCACCTTGATGTTCTTGTTCAGTACCTGAGCGTTTTTTGTTTTCTTTCATTTTGTTTTTACCAGGTTTGTTTATGTGTCTACCTGTTGGACTCACACACTCATCAAATGACTATTTCAATTCCAGTCATTGATGAGTTAATTTTGTCATATATTACATTAAAATCAATATATACATTGAAAAATAGAATTCTTTTAATTGTTTTATGTAGTTAAAGAACAATTACATCATTTCTTCCCTCCTTCCTCCAAATACTCTTAGGCCCCTTCCCAACTCACTCCCAAATACATGGTCCCATTTTAATCAATTATATATACATACGTACGTGTGTGTGTGTGTGTATGTGTGTGTGTGTGTGTGTGTGTGTGTGTGTGTTTGTATGGTTGAAAACACTTTCTCCATATTAACACCTTGGCAAAAACATACCATTTTAAGGACTGAAAACTGATTGTTATTGTGTTGGAACCTGAAATTGAAATTTTATAAGTCAGTATAAACTTGGAGGAAAGTTGTTACAGAGACAAAAAAAAACAAAATACCAACTATATACAAATTTTAGAATCATTAGGATCAAATTATGCAAGCGAAAAATTGCAATAATATTATAAATTTAATCACATTATTAAATTATTACAGTTATTGTTGGTGCTGCTTGTTTTCAGAGTAACATTCATTCAAAGTCATAACTATTACAAACCCATAGTGGAAGTCATTTTAATTAAAATATTCAAATGTTCTATTGCAAAAAGAAAAGAAGAAATTCATGCAGGGTAGGACTGTAGGAATTAATGAAATAACACTAACCTCTAAGTTTAATTTAAAAATACTACTAAATGAAGTTCATAAAGTTTTTTTTTAAGTAGAAGTACAAGTGTGATTAAAAATGGGTTAATTCTTCAAAGAAATTAAAATAACTTTTTCTGATAAGAAATTATGGGTTCATGAACTCAGTGGGTGGCCCTTTGATCACCTCACCCTGGTGGGGGAGCAGCCTTGACAGACCACAGAGGAAGACATTGCAGCCAGTCCTGATGAGACCTGATAGGCTAGGGTCAGATGGGAGGGGAGGAGGACCTGCTTTATCAGTAGTCTGGAGGAAGAGCATGTGAGGAGAAGAGACAGGGAGGGTGGGATTGGGAGGAAATGAGGGAGGGGGACTAGAAAGTGAATAAACTATAATTAATATAAAAATAGAAGTTAAAAAAATTATGGGTGGGATGGAAATGAAGCAGACATTGTACTTATACAATATTTGACAATTAAAACTATATGTATACTTATTCATCAATAATTTTAAAATTATAAAGTAGAACTAATTTCAGTCATTTGTGTACAAGCATAGAAAACAATCTGCCAAAACACAATATAATAAAATCTGTGTGTTTGATACTCAGTCCATCAAGAGAGACCATATCATGTTGTAGAAACATGCAGACTGATTTGATTATGATCTTTCCTAAGAACAAAGCATATCCACCACTATACTATTCATCTGGTGTGGTTTGCTTTAGAATTCTACCGTGTCTTACGACCATGTCGCCATTACCTTAAATGTTGATTGGAATCACAACAAAGGAAAAATAATATGCCAAAAAGAAAACAAATGGTTGTGATAAAAAGAGAAGTTACACCTATGAATTCTAGCATAATTCATCTTCCTGAAGTAGCCACAAATTTAAAGGGATGGAAAACAAAGTTTCACTATGCAGACTGTGTAAAGATTATAAAAGAAGTATTGAATGAAAAGAGAGGCAAATACACCATATAAAATTTTATAAACAAAATTTTAAAAGTTTCTGTTTTAGAAAAGAATTAAACCCATGCAATCCTCTATTCCCTATTTTCTTGCCCTACTTTAATTTTCTGTCAGTATTATTTCTGAAACTTTAAGAAAATAATAATCATTAAAAAAAAACCTGCCATTGGTGACAAAAAAAAAAAAAAAGATTGTTGTTGTTGGGGTTTTTTTTTAGAAAAAGGCATTTTTCCGTGACAGTTCTTTGCTTATTGCATCTTTCACATCTTTATTCCTCAAGCTGTAAATCATAGGGTTCAGCATGGGAATGACTGTGGTATAAAACACAGCCACCATTTTGCCTTGTTCCACAGATTCTTCGGAAGTGGGTCTGAGATACATGAAGAAGAGAGTTGCATAGAATACGGTGACAGCTGTCAAATGGGAGCCACAGGTGGAAAAAGCTTTGTGCTTGCCTTCTGTAGAGCTGATCCTCAGAATAGCAGGAAAAATATACAGGTAGGAGGTGAGAATGATGAGCAGGGAGAGGGAGAGGTTGAATCCAGCTACAATGTACATGGAGGTTTCTTTGCGGTAAGTGTCAGAACAAGCCAGCTTGATCAGAGGTGGGTCAGCACAGTAGAAGTGATTGATTTCATTGTGGCCACAGAAAGCCAGAGTGTATGTCCACATGGTCTCCATCAGCCCGGTGAGTGCTCCATACACATAAGGCACAGTGACAAGGGACCGGCAGACGCTCTGGGACATCTTGCCACCATAGAGCAGAGGGTTGCAGATGGCCATATACCGATCAAAGGCCATCAGAGCCAGGATGTAGAACTCAACGTGGACCAAGGCAATGAAGAGGTAACACTGGACCAAGCACGCAGAATAGGAAATAGTTTTCCTCTCTGAAATGAAAATCTGGAGCATCTTTGGGGTCACGTTGGAAGAGAAGCACACATCCACAAAGGACAAGTGGCTCAGGAAAAAGTACATGGGTGTGTGCAGCCTGGCATTGGCCTGGATGAGCAGGATCATCCCCAGGTTGCCTACCACTGTGACCATATAGACCACCAGAAACAGCACGAAAAGGAGAAGCTGAAGCTCCACACGGCTAGTAAGTCCCAGAAGGATGAACTCAGTCACTGAGGTGAAGTTTCTCCTCATGCTGGCCTGAAAAGAGAAATGAAAATTTTATGTCAGAATAGACATTCCATAAGAGAGCAACATTTAAATTTTCCTTAGAATTGTTTCCTCACCTCTTTTGCATATTTATTTACTTTTCCTTTTTTGCTTTTTTAAATTTTTTTTCATAATTTGTTCATTATATATCCCAATTGAAGCCCCTCCCTCGACTTCTTCCAGGCCATACCTCCCTCCCTCTCCCTACTCCCCTATCACTTTCCCCTACTCCACTGAAAGAGGAGTTCTCCTCCTTTGCCATCTGCCCATAGCTTGTTCAGTCTCATCAGGACTGCCTGGGTCTCTCACTGCCAGGTCTAAGTGATCGTAGAGCAGGCAACCTAGTTCATGACAGAGGCAGAACCTGTTCCCCTTACTTAGGATTCCACGTGGAGATTGAGCTGCTAATCAGCTACATCTGAGCAGGGCATCTAGGTCCTCTCCATGAGTTCATCAGTCTCTTGCAAGACTCCCCGGGCTCAGATATTTTAGCTTTGTTGGTCTCTTTGTGGGGCTCCTGCCCCTTCATGTCCTTCTATCTCAACCCCCCTTCTTCCATGAGACTCCCCGCGCTCTGCCCAAAGTTTGTCTGTGAGTCTGTATACCTGTTTAGATTCCCTCATTCGGTGGAGCCTTTCAGAGAACCCTCTATATCACCCTTTCTTCCCTATCTATTTTTAAGTAGACTCTAGTGTTTTAAACACTAGCAAGCACACATTACCTACTGAGTCTCTGCCCATTTGAAATTCTAGTCCTTTAAATTTAGTTTGTATTTTTGTCTCAAAGTATACACATTTTAGTCTAATTTAGAATTCTTACCTATCTCCTTTTCTGCTTTTTATTCTTTACTTTTAAACTTCATATAAATTTCTCATTCTAATATTTTCCACTCATTATATACAGACAAATGAATTTTACCACTTGTGAGATTTTTCAGATGAGTTTACTCAGAGGAGGAATGAGCACAAGACACTGACTGGTAACACTGAACCAGACCATGCCATGTATGTAAAATCTTTAATGTTCTATGCATAAAGCTTCCAAATGATAGCGTTAAATCATTTTACATCTTTATAAAGCATGAAAGATCAATTTGTTATATTTCCTAATTAGAAAAATACCCTAAATGAACAATTAATTACAAGTCCCACGTTTATGGTTTTGGAAAACTTGATAGCATTTTTTCAGTTTCCTCAGTAAAAATCATACAGACTAATTATTCAAATATCAGACTTGGGTTGTGACATAGAAGTGACTCAGTTCAGGATGTTCATCTACATTTCCAAAAGTAAATGGATGACCACTAATAACTAAAATTTGGGATTTCAGAGCCTGGGTCAGACAATCAACTTCACATCATAATCATATACATATAGCATCTCAAAGAAAGAACTGGTCATAAAAATAGTTCTTGGGGAGAGAAAAACAAAACTTAAAGAAACAAAACATAAAACAAACAAATGACAATTCTCCCTGTTTTCATTTATTCTTAATCTGGATTTGCTAATGAGATCTGACTGAAAAGATGAAATTCAGTCAGAAACTTTAATCGACTTCTCGGGCATAGGCTTGCTTTGCTATTTCTCTCTCACTCTCTCTCAATAGAGATCAGTGTCTGTACTTGCATGTAAATATCAGTACCTATCTTACAGAGAGAGAGAGAGAGAGAAGTATTGATATCAATTTTATTTCAGTATTTAGTATTTAAGAAATGGCCTGTATATATCATACAGCCTGGCCTTAAATTCACAATTTTCCTCTCAGGCATGTGACTATTTGTTCAGTATTTAAAACACACATTCTTAGATCTTGATCATTAGTACCATACATACACACAGATAAGTCAAAACAAACCTTATTCTATTGTAATTATCTAGCCATACACTACTTTTGTGAATAAATGCTCGCATTCCATGAAAAGCAAAACAAGAGCAATGGCTTATATTTTCTAACAACTTACCTATAAAGAACTATGGAAGTAAGAAAAATAAATGGGCCTTCAAGGCTAATAATCAAGGAAGATGTTTGCTTATATATACCTATAAGGTGAAGGTGTTTTTCCCCTTACACCATTAAAAATAGAAAAAAAAAAAGTCATCAATCCCTCCAATTACAAGTCCCTAAAGACAGCTCACGTAGATCAAACCAGGGGTTTAGGAAGAACTGGAGCATCTCTTCAGGGACCTCAGCTGTGTTGGGAAGAGCCTAAACCCACTGTGCTGCGTGACCTGGTACTGTGTGATCAAACAAGCAGCGTTAGTGCAGGGAACACACGTCCCTTTCAAAATGACCATGGTGAGGCCATTTTAGCTTTTTTGGTTTTGTCTGCTTATTTTATATTTTTAAGTGGTTAGAAAATGCAAAAACAAGTGAATGAAAATGGAGAAATGTGAAATAAGTTCAATTAATTGAGGAAACCTCTTTAATTCATTATTTTCCTAGGCTATCCGGTATATTCACAGTCATTGAATTTGACTGCTGCTTTGTATTCTTAATCTGTATGACTTGTAAAGCAACACAGTTTTATAAACACCATACTTAGCACTTTCTTAAGATTAATATTGATGGAAACTCATTAAATCTTAAATCTACCTTCAAACCATTTTCATGAAATGCTGAGCTATAGAAAAGACAGTCAGTTTCCTTCAGCTGTTAGGCGCACTAGCTCAGAAAGGAAACCACGAAAGACATTGTTAGCTCATCTCCTTTCCTGAGTAAATATCCACAATTTACTCAATTTCATGGGTCAACATCATTGCACATTTACCTATAGATAAACAAGCAAAATAAAAAGAGCATGTAAATTGAAGTAGCTAGCTCTATGGTTCACCAACTCAATGTACAAGAGAAGAGCGTGAGCATTTTATTTAGAATAAGAACCTAGTCCATAGATAGTGTTTCTCACATTCAAGTAAATTACCTTACAAACATGCCGATACTCTATCTTCTAGGTTATTTTTGACTTAAACAAACTGACAGTCACCTGCCTATTGTAATTATGCATCCCATGGTTGGGATAACCACAAGAAAATTTACTGGGAGTTAAAACCCCTCCATTCCCATAACTTGAATTAGTTCCTACCAACTGGAGGGTCACAGTGTCCTCTTGGATTTCCTGGAAATAGTGTTAACAAATAAGAGCCAGAGTACAGCGAAATGCAATGCTCTCTCCTGGCGATAACATGGCTGTTGACACTATGATCTCACAGTATCTGTGTTATTTACCAAAGATCTACACATGATCAATCCAGGAAAAGTTGTGGTTTCAACTGTTTCCAGCCTCCTCACCTTTCTCAGGAGGGATTGGCAGTGGGTTGCTTCTGGATGATGGAGACGCATTTCTTCATGGAAGGTTTAACAACTGGTGCACTGCCCCTCCTCCAGGGGATTGCCCACACCCACGGACACACAGCATCTCTAACTGAACCTACTGATAATTAGACACAAGTGAAACTGGGAGGGCAGTGACCTGGAAGGATTTGGAATTGGAATATAAAAGTAAAAATTATCATATGTGGTTGCACACAATTTCTAAAGTTTTTGGAAAAAAAAAAGAAAAATATTAGAGGGCTTCAGATTTTTCTGTCCTTGTTCACAAACTAAAACTGATTTCAGCTTTTTCTGTTACTCTTGGTTCACAAGTGAGAGAACCAGTGTGGGCATTCCTCCCATGCTACAGATCTTGTACCTTCTATTCTTACTGTTGTGATCAATTTACAACAAAATCATGAAGAGAAAAATACTTTATTTTGGCTTATGGTCCAGAAGATACAGTTCATTGTGGCTTATTCTTTCGGCTGAAGCAGTTCATCAAGCTGTGGTATCAGAAGTGTGAGGCGGTTGATTACTTTCCTTGGACAGGAAACCGAGCAAGACCAATGCCAGTGCTCAGGTTGCTTTTTCTTTCCTTTGAGTCTGGGATCCCAGCGCAGGGAATGGTGCCACCTGCATTTAAGGTTGTTTTTCCCTCTCCAATTAATTCAGCCTCGACATTCAGGTTTGTAAAAATGATATTATTTTTTCCTCTGTTCATTTGGCAGCTCAAAAACCACAAATGCAGAAAAGAGATAGTATCTCAGTGTTGCCTACAGAGTAGAAAAGTCCCCATATTTTAGTAAAATATGTATCTCTGGCTTCTATGTGCTCCTTGACACATTCTGAATGACAACATGGTCTCTGTTAAAAGCTAGTTTTATTTGGTCTGAAGCCACTAGGTGGCAAAACACAATGATTCTCTCCATTAGTGGCTCTAAAGAAAACAACTAGGCTATTTCATAATTCAGTTTGCAATAAACACATTGGCAGTAGCAGCCAGATAAATGTGAAATACTCTGGAAAGCAAATGGTCAGGAGAATGTGATTGAGGGGGAAAAAGTTAAGAAGACCTACAGAACCAACAAATCTGGACAGGGCAGAGGAGCAGAGGGGCATCATGGAGCAGACGCAGGCTCAGATGTAGCCAGTAGACAGCTCAGTCCTCATGTGGGATACCCTAGTAAGGGGAGCAGAGGCTGTCTCTGAAATAGACTCTGGTGCATGTTCCTTGATCACTTTCCCAAGGTTGAGGTGGCCTTATCTGGACACAGAGGAAGAGTATGCAGGCAGTCCTGAAAAGACTTGATAGTCTGTGGCCAGTTAGTAAGGGAGGAGGGCTCTGCCTTTCTGAGGACTAGGGGGAGGGAGGGGGGAAGAGGGAGGAAGGGTGTTTCTGGAAGGAGACAAAGGAGAGCTTACCATCCTTTAGGATGTAAAATGAATAAATAAAATAATAATAAAAGATAGAGACAGAGACAGAGAACTGCAGGGGCTATAATAGCACAGGCCTGTAATCCCAACACTTGGGAGGTAGAAGAAAGCAGATCTCTGGGTTCAAGGCAAGTGTAGTCTAAAAAGCAAGTTCTAAGACAGTCAAAACTTTACAAAGAAACACTATCTCAAATCTCGCCCCCTAAAAATAAAATAAGGAGGAGGAGTAGAAGGAGGAG